AATTCCTGTCATTTTGATGAATACTTATTTGCAAAAATGCTTGCTTAATGTCTGATATCACTCCAAATTGTCCTACTCTAAACCAATTAATTAAATTTGGTATTTTCTGGATCATGTTGGTTCCTTTTTCGAGACAATCATTTAAAGAAGGCTTACCTTTAACATGTGCTGAAGCATCAAATACGGGTCTCACTGGTGTAGTCACACTGTCCTTGAGAACTGCTCTATGCGGTATGAAGTGCTTGATGTGATCTACCTCGTCACTGGGAACTGATTCAATGATTCCTTCAGTCTGCCAACTTCTAAACACTTGTTGATACTTACTGAAGTAACCACCATTTTTAGTTTTGTCAATCGTTGATTGAAGCCGTTTCTTTGAAAGTTCCAAGTTATTAGGAAGCATGTTACAATCCTCGACCCAAGGTAAGCACACTTCATAACGACCTTCGTTGTTTACACTCACCGTATTCCTAAAATGCTCTAGTGTCATCTCGTGTAACTCTTCTTTTGACTTCTGTTCTACGGGATCAGTAATACCAAGTGTCTCTAATTTCCAGAACATCGAAATATCCTCAGAAGGATCACTAAAAGAAAACATACTAACACATGATGTATTGCATTCTGTCTTACTGTTATCAGTTTCCACAACACTATATAAGCGACCCATTAACGTCCAGCCTAGAAAAGTTTCCATTGCGACAAGTCCACTATTCAGCTGAACTTTGTTACCTGTGAACAACTTACCAGCAACATCTGCACCAATTAATACTTCAATTTTTGCATCTGATTCAGCCACATCCGAAAGAACAATGTTAGCAGCTTCTATTTCCTTAAGTTCTGGACCTCTCCTAATACTAGGGATATTTTCACTTATAAGAGGTTGATCTAAAACCTTGAACCTACACTTATAGTCATTATTCCTATTGGCAAGAATGATTTTAAACGTGTTATGTGAAACAACATCTGTCTTAACACCACCAAAAAGTGAATGAGTTAAACTCTCTTGCCCCTCGGGAAACATACCAATTTCAGATGCTGTGGACTCAAGAATATAAGATCTCATCGAACCTGTATCAATTAAGGCTCTAACAGGACGAATCAAACCTTCATGGATCAGATTGACCCTCAATGTCTGCAGATAAATCTGTGATTTTGTTTGTTGTCCTAAGTTAGATAGATCTTTGACCTCATTACCGGTACTCCTGTTTGATTTTTCTTGCAATCCTTGTTCCTTATTACACATCAAAGTAGGGTGTTTGCGGTAACAAATACTACATTTTAAAGGCCTTCTACAGAATTTAGATGTATGTCCCTGAAATAGACATGTAAAACAAGCTTTTTTATCCAAAACAATTTGTCTTTTTTTACTGAAATCCATTTTCTTTGCCTGAAGACAATCTGCACTTTTGTGAGCTTCTGAGCAGAATATACAATTTAACTCTTTTGACCTGTTAGTCAAGCAAGATGCTGAAGGCATATTGTTTGAAGTTTTATCAATATTACTTCTAGGGCTTACCCTCTTACTCGTACCGTAACCAGTCTTAGCCAAAACAATTCTTTCTTCACCTTCAACTTCTGATTTGATGAACTGCCGCAATCTCTTCAATGTCTGCTCTTCTGATTCTGATGATTCTTTATTTTCTCCATCTGAAGACAAACTGCATCTCTGCCAAGCTCTAAGAAGATCATCTGGTAAGCAGGATTCTACTAAAGGCAACAAAACACAAGCACATTTATCTGTTGTTACCTCTAAGCTTTCCAAGGCTCGTAGTTGACATTCTAATTTGTCGTAAAACTGCATCAGAGACAAACGATGTTCTGTGTTTTTCAGTACCAAAGCTAGCAGCTCCCTAACATATACTTGTACTAGAAGTCCGTCCCGCCCAAATCTACCTTTAAGTTCCTCTAGAGCCTTAGGATAATTATCTGCTGTTGGTGGAAAACTCTTTACTACTTCATATGCTCTAGACCTAGGAATCATACTTTGTAACAAGTATTGGAACTTTTCTGCAGCATTTAAAGTCGGTTCCCTATCTATTGTTTGAAAAAGACTCCAGAAATGTAGCCAGTCCTTCGGATCTCCACCAAATTTGATCAATTCTACTTTTGGAAGTCTTACTGTGTTGTGCTTAGGTACTAAAGTGCTGTTGTTACTTACAGAATCGCCGAGAGAACGAGCTTCATCTTCTAATCTGTTACTTACTCGCAACTTGTATTTAATTAATCCATAAGCCTTCTTGTATTCATCCTGTTTTGCTAGTTCAGTTTCAATTTCTTCATCAGGTCGTTCTACAAGCATTAGATTCAATACTTCTTTATCAATTTCTTCCAACTCATTGTATCTTTGTTCTAATACGTCATAAAGAGCATTAGCTTCATCTAATTCTTCTTGACAAACTTCATTGAACTTTGATACTGATCTACTAAATGTTGTTCTCAATGCCTTCCTTCTTTTTAACAAGGCTTCCATCGTTCAAATAAAATCTATACTTTTCCAACAAATAACTTACTTCCACCAATGCCAACACGTTGGGCGCCACAATGTTACGAATGGAACTGACAAAAAAACAATGAGTACTTAGTGAAAGTAGTGACAATAATTTATTTGAACCATTTTGACTAACACACCTTCCTTTAAAGCCAACATAAAACTCAACTCTATTTTGTTTACATTCTCTCCTTTAAATTAATAACATGTGGTTTAATTATTAGTAAGCATACAATATTAAGATTGACAACAGCTGGCAATTACCAGATAGTTAAACCATTGACTATAGGTTAAACCAACACAGCATATATAACAGAGACCAAGAGGAGCATCAGGTTTAGAATGAAACAATAGTGTTGCTGATGATACGCTAGCCTTGCACTTGGAAAGCTTCTTCTGTCTCTGGAGTCCAGTTCTGTCAGTAGTAGCCTGGCAGCCAAAGGGTCAACATCGTCTGATAACAGCTATGTTGATAAAGGTTATATTGGGCAGTTTTTATAATCACAAAACTTATTGTCGACTATCGTTATGAAGTGTAATAAGTGTTTTAATGTTATTATTGAGGCTGATCAATACTTAAAGTGCGATGAGTGCTCAAAGATTTATCATTTTACATGTTTGAAAAGTAATAAAGACTTCAACTTAACAAAAGAAGACTATGAATACATTAGGGAAGTTGGTTCTGGATGGAAGTGTATCTCATGTCATCATAGAGGGCGAGAAAAGAATGATGACACACCAATCAAGCCTGTAAGTTCTAAAATTAAGACCAAACATACAGAAAAAAGTGTTGTAGGGTCAGAGACTGATTCAGACAATAGTTCTGCGGGAAACAGTTAAAAAGTAACATGTAGTTCATGCAAAAAGGGATTTGCGCACAATGCCTATAGATGTATTTGTATTAAATGCAAGTCAATTTTTCACTTAAAATGTGTAACTGATTTTAATTCCATTGAGGATTATAACAAGGTCAAGTCTATTTGATTTGGCAATGTCAAACATGCATTCCGGAAATTTCAAGTCAGCAACAATTGTTATCTAGTCATGATAAGACGTTATCTGTCAAACAAAGCAGTGATGTCTTGTTATCAGTCATTATGAATGAAATTCGATCTTTTCGAAATGAAGTAAAAAAGACAAATGTTGAGTTTAGGGAGTCAATGGATAAATACTCAGATTGGATGGATTAAAAAGATTGTATCAGAATTAGCTAGTAAGGTAGACTTTTTGGAACAAGCAGCTAAGGACAATACAATGGAAATACAAGGTATTCCATCTACACCTAAGGAAAATTTGGTCAAACTAATTGAGAAAGTTTCTACAGCTATAGGGTTTAATTTTGATCAAAATATGATTGATAAATGTTATCGCATGAAAACAAATACTGGAATGGTAGAAAGACCAGGAAGCATTGTTGTTCGCTTTGTACGCAACATCGATCTACAGCTGTTCGTGCAGAAAAGGAGAGAAAAGCAAAATTTAAACACCAGAGATATTGGATTTTTACAAGGAAACTCTTCAGTAATCTACATAAACAACAGCCTAACTCCAGCAAAAAGGAAGTTATTGCGTGCAACACATCTATGTTGAGCGGAGAAGGGCTACACGTTTGTTTGGGTCAGTGGTGGGCGCATCTTTCTGAGGAAGAAGCAAGGTGACCCTGCTATCGAAATCAAGAGAGAGGAGGACTCGGAGAAACTCCAATGAAGATGTTGTTCTTACAGTTCGGTATGTGCCCCAAGTTTTTCATCGTGTGTTGTGTTTTGTTGTTATTTTTCACTCAAGTTTCATTTTATGACACAGAGAGTCTGTTTAAAGTTATCATATGGTTATAGTACAATAATAAGCTTATCCGTTGCCAGCGTTTTGGCATCTAATTTGTGGTTTTTATATATAATTAATCATTACAACAAAGTCTGATTGTTTATTGTATAACAAAGAAAAGGTGAATTGTCTAAAAGAAAGGTTCAGTTCAAACAGTAATGTTTTTTTTTAAAGTGGCCCATGTCAATGTTGAAAATTTAAGAGTTCATAGAGAGTCCTTTTTTGGTTTGTTTGAAGGGAATATTTTTGATGTTATAGTGGTAACTGAGGCTTTCTTGAAACCAAATTTATCATCAAAACCATTTGATGTTAAGTGTTTTAATTTTATAAGACAAGACAGAGAAGGACAGGTGTTGGAATTTATATTAAGAAATGTTTTAATTATAAAGTGTTGTCTAATTCAGAAGCTTTGTATGGTAAAAAACCGGAATAAATTGTTTTGGAAATATCTTTTAGGTGGAAACTTTTGTTGTGTGGTATGTACAGACCACCAAAAGCAGGTCACATGCCTGCCTTCTTTGACTTAGTGGGAAATTTGATACCTACTTATTCTGATGTTTTGATTGTGGGGGATTTTAATGTAGACTTAAGCACAGACAGAGGAGCTGGTAAATACTCTCTGCTGTCACTTTTTTTGTTTAGCAAATATTCTTTAAATTCTGTATTAATCTTAACGATAAATTTTCAGTTGCCCCCGACACAAAACATCTTGCTGGAAGGATGAACAACATATCGTACTCCAGTCCTCCCTCCCCTCTGCTCACCCAGCTGTACGACATTCCACCTGAACATTTCTGTCAAAACGCTGAGTGTGTCAAGGATGGAAGTGAGAACTGTGCTTGCACACAGATTGTACATGTGCCTCTCAACTCTGTGGTGGAGTTTATGTTTGTTCACTCAGGTAAGTTAAAAGGGGGAAATTAACAATATCAATCATTAAAATTATTTAAAGTGGCGATAGTCATCAAATTAATGAGTCTCTAAGTGAAACCTCCTGGAGCAAAAGATAATCAACCATCATGAGTAAAACAACAAAATAACTTACTTGCTGTACTATTTTTGTATTTATTTTACTTGAACACAAATCCTATATAAATTGACTTTCTGAATCTACTCTCATCTATTACGCTCTATTACATAAGTTGCAATTCAGTTAGTTAATAAACCTTTGAGCTATAAAAAGGCTGATCAATTAATTATGAAGAATAACTTATAACTTTCGTTTACAACTATATATGTGAGCACAACTCAACATTAATGGCTGAAAACTGTACATGGCACGTTCACTTGGGCGTTGGTGCTTACAGGATACAGAGCAATAAATATAGGGAGGGTTAGGTTCTGTCTCGATCTGGTCCGGTGTGAAACGCTTTAGGAATTCACCTCCTGGAAGTAGAGCCATCTAAAACAAACAGTGGAGGCTCAGGTGGATGTTGTCAACCCATTCTTGATTTTGATCCCTAACTGAGTTGCATCTCTGATCAGGCATTTTGCTATGTTTTATTCATCCTTCCTCTGTGTGTGCGTGTGCGCTTTAAAATAGTATGCCTAAAAAGTAATTGTATTTTGTTCATAAGGTAATGAAAACATAGGAATAACAAAATCCGTTAATAGCTCTCTGGGATCAAAGGATGAGATTATAACTGAAATAGTAACTAAATATTAAACTATAGTTAAAGCAAAAAATCGCTTATGACGAAGTTAATATTTTTTCAAAGTTGCCATTCTAAATACATTGAATGTCTTTCTCCTTACAAAAAACAAAACTGTTTTAATACTGAAAACAATATTTTAGTTCAGTTCTTTTATGTATTTTAGAGCCTCCAGATGCTGCCATGTTGTTTCACCCTTTTCACATTCATGGCACCGACTACTATGTCATAGAAGAAGGAAAGTTACCCGACACTTACTACACACCTGAATCACAGGCATTTGTTCGGAGGAAAATGAGTGAAAATAGGTACAATCTGAAGCCTAACCTTCCCATGAAGGACACTGTGTCAGTCCAATACCAGGGATACAGTATCATGAGGATATTGGCAGACAACCCAGGTGTGTTAAGTTACATTGAAAAGGTCATGTTGTCAATTATTTCTTTATTTACACCTCTATATAGAATTAATTTCCTACCACTGGAATGCCAATATTAATAAAATATTTATGTTTTATCGATGGTGTTCCAATTTGCTGCAGTTTGCTGCAACACGTCTTATCAACACAGTGATATCATCAGGCATCCGCTAAGGCTTCGTTATGAATAATAAAATGAAACAGTCACTATACAAATTAATTTTAGCAAAAAACAACTGGGGGACGAATCAATCCTATGCGTACGTGCTATGTGGCCGCCGCTACGACACTACCGGTCGTATGTCAAATGTTTTTCCTGTAAATTATTGTGTTTAGTGATTGCTTCATTTTATTATTTATGACCAAGCTTAAGCAGATGCCTGATGCTGATGTCACTGTGTTGGGGAAACACGTTGCAGCAAACTACAGCAAATTGGAAAGCCAGTAGATAAAACATAAATATTAATCTTATTTGCATCTCTTTATTAAACTTAAGACATAGTGGTATAAACACATATTGATAATGTTTTTTTACTTAAAAGGTTGTGGTAATAGTTATTTGTGTAACTAGTGAGCAAAGTGCACACAAGAGCAATGTTTACGCACAAGCCGCAGGCAAGTGCGGAATGATCTTGAGTGCAGCAAAGGCCTTTTGCACTCGTGTTTCACATTATATTTTTCCTACAGTCACTATAAAGCATATAAATAATTATTACTCTTTCAAACACTATACAACACGTTTTTAAGTTCAGCTGGCAACACAAATAGGTGCCCTAGAGAAAGTAATCACTCCGCTATTTTTTCCTCGGCAAGCAATGTGCTCCGCGACTTGAGAAAATAGTTCCGTATGTTTTTGTAATTTGAAGTGGTTTCCGCGCCTAAAAAAATGCTTTAAAGGTATTTTCTTGTTTATTAAGATCGTTAAGGAATGTTTTAAAAACGTTTAAAAGAACAGTCCAGAAAGTTTAGAAATACCGAAACTATAAACACGAAATGACAGGTTAAATCGTAGTTATAATAGTCAATCAGCTGTTCATAGTATTATTATCTTTAAGTGTTGCCAACCTATTTCCAAGTGTACACGGATTATGTGCATAATAGAACCACTCTGATTTGTGTTTTTTCATTGGAATCCTGATGTGCGCCAGAGTATAAACCGTACGACAAAGTATAAACAGTACGACAAAGTAATATATTAATATAATAATTGCATATATGCAGCAATTAGCAGCTTTCTGTACTATAAATAATATAATGAAGCCAACTTTGTCGGGTGACTGTAGGAAAAAATCATTTATTTACACAGGCAAAGTTAGGGCCACAAAAAAGAGAGGAAGAAGAGAAAGATCAAAGTTCTAGTAGGTTTTAGTTTTGATTCATTATGATCCAAAAGATTTACACTGTATTAAATTATGAATATGATTGCAGGAATGTGGTTTATTCACTGCCACTTTGCATACCACCAGGAGACAGGCATGGCTGTGGTACTTTGGCAAGGAGAATATGATGACATTCCTCCTCCACCGAAGGGATTTCCAAAATGTTCAGACTTTCTTGAAGAACCTGTAGAAATTATTCCTGACTGCAAACCTCCTTTTAAAGTCAAAGAACAGCTACTGATATTTTGACCGTGTTTGTGCGCAAAATTGTTACCTAAAAGCATATGAACAAAAATTATTTGTTTATTGAAACAAGCATGAGGATGGATGACTGCTAGAGACTGTTGTTGACTGGATGCAGCTGAAATTGTTGCCACATGGTTGTTATGTAGATTCAAGCTTGTGCATTTGCAAGCATATGTAGTGTTGGTAATTATAAAGACGTTTATAGTAGTAAAAGCTATTTTTAAAAATTGATCCTTAACTTATTCAACTGCAATTATGTTTATTCACAAAATCTTTTGTATCTAATTTGTTTCTTATGGTTTCAATTTTGGATTTTGCAGTAAATATCCTCGAATTTATAAGAGGGTATATTTTGTTTGGCAAAGATGCATTCTTGGTTTGATAAAGATCAAACTTTAGATAGGTACAGGACAGGAGATAAAGTATGTTGTCAAGAAAACAAAATAGCTGCTTGGTGAATAACTTGAAGATTTTGTACAATTTTACTAACTTACTACTCGATTTTGCTTTTGACTCAATGACAAACCCCCGGATCAAATTATGTTTATATTTTTAAACTTCGTCTAGTGCATCAGAAGTTATTTTTTTATAAACAATCACCTACAAGAGGTTAAGTTACTTTTTTCTAACTAAATAAGTTAACCTCATGAGGCAAAATACTCCTGCAGACTAAAGGCGTGTTTTGCCAGAAGCGGCTGGTGCATCTAACGCTCAGCGATGATCACTCTGCGTCAATCGCTACCCAGTGCTTTGCATTGTTTCAGGTTAGTTTATTTTGCCGCCAGCGTCTGTAACTGAGCTGCTAGCGTCCATTCCGGACCACTGCTCTTGGAGCAGACGGAGACATAATCGCTAGCATCTATTAGAATAATAAACATGTGTTTTGTTGTTGACTGTTATTCTTTTTAAGTTGTGTTTTTAACCCAGTTTGTAAGTATAGTGACATGTCACAATCAAAGTGGGGATTTAATAGTGAAAAAGATGATAAATTGATTGATGCTATTTCAGCTCACCCCACTTTTTTAGAACATTGGTGATTTTCTATTAATGATTTACAAAATGCCTCTTCAGGTCTCTTTAAAACATAGAACGCACTCCTCCCCAGGGTTCGCAAAACATTTCTAAAATCTCTTCATCGTCCAATTCCTCAGCTAACAAATACCTCACTATTTGCTTTTTAGATCTCCATTTCAAAAACAGCTCTCCTTTCGCCACCAAATAAAACCACTCATTTATCAAATGATCGCAAGGAACAGACACTTCTGACAAAATAGCCCCTAGCGATAGACGCAGAGCGATCGTCACTAAGTGATAGACGCACCAGCCGTATCTGGTAAAAAGGCCTTAGCAAATGTCCACTTACCTTGTTGGATTTTCTAAAAAAAATCCCTTAAAAATGTCAGATTTATTTTCTATGCAATTAACATTAAATTTAATGTGTGCTAAAGTTTGCTGCTACGGCAAAGGTAAAAAAAGTGTTTTAATTGAAATGTTAATAGCTTACCGGTAGTAATTAGTATGAAATAAATGTGATAAAAATATATGCCTAAGCAAGCAAACTACTACAGTTCATGAATCCTCCATAAAAATAACTTAGCACCAGTAATTTAAAATTACAATATATTACATATATTTGTCGAGTTTTCAACCACTGGATGACCTCTAGTATATATAAGTATTTAATAGATGAGTGAACGAATCAATGTATCATGTATAATAGCGGAGTCGGAGAAAAGTTGTCCGCTTTTCTGTGAGTCCGTGAGCAGTGCATTCGCATCAAAAACTCAAGAACCGTTGCACTTATAGCGTTCAAACTTTGCACAAATAACTATGACACCAGTGGGAAGACACCATTAACATTCCAGACAATTCCGCTCAGTAGTAATTATAAAACCCTAAAAATACATTTTTAAATTTGTCACATAAGAATAACTTTAGAAGCTACAGTACCTTCTTCTTCTTTTTATTTGTTTACGTTTTGCGACCAACAATTTTATTGTTGTCTACATTAAGACAGAGAGAACAACTTTTACTCTAAGCTCTTTCATTCATGGAGTAAACAGTTTGGCGTCTATTAATATCATTATAATTTCACAACTTTCAGAATAATAAATTGAACTTTAAAATATTAGTCGGGAGTTATACTGTTTATGTTCAGTATTAAAATTCACATTTATATTTTTTGCAATTACTGTATGATAACAGCCAATTTGAAGTAAGCAGCACCAAAAAGCTGTTATACACAATGAGAACTGTCAAAGTAGGATTGTTTAAATAATTTTTATGTTTTTATTTAATACAAAACGAGGTGTTGCAGTGGTAGAACTGAATGGCTATGGTAGATGTGTAACACTATATTGTATGTACTATACTATATACTATGTCTGTAATACTACAGCATACCGTAAAATTAAGGTACCAAATTTTCTCAAGCCTTATCCTCCCTATTGCAAATGCAAAGCTAGAGTATAACTGCAAGAGAAAGTGGAAAGGTGAGCAGTGCAGAGTGTGGAAACCCTTTGTGACAGTAAGATTATTGTACCTGCAATAATAAAATGCTATGGGAAGAGAGGAAAACAGGTCTACGATGTAGGAAGTAGTGAAGGAAGTAGTCAAGGATAGTGTTCTGGAATGTGGGACAATTTGTGACAGTTAGATTAATTTATCTGCAATTCTAAAAATGCTATGGGAAGGAAGGGAAACAGGTCCACGACGTAGGTGGTGAAGGAAATAGTCAAGGTAAGCAGTCCGGAGTGTGGGAACCCTTGGTGACAGATAGATTAATGTACCTGCAATAATATAATGCTATGGGAAGGGAGGGAAACGGGTCCATGACGAAGGCAGTGATAAAGGAAGTAGTCAAGGTGAAGGGTCCAGATTATGGGAATCCTTTGTGACTGAATAATGTATCTGCAATTCTAAAAATGCTTTGGGAAGGGTGGGAAACAGGTCCATGACGTAGGAAGTTGTGAAGGAAGTAGTCAAGGCGAGCAGTGCGGAGTGTGGGAACCGTTGGTGGCAGTTAGATTCATGCATCTGCAATACTAAAAGGCTATGGGGATGGGAGGAAAACAGGAAGGAAGTGGTAGAGGCGAGAAGTTCTGAGTGTGGGAAACGTTTATGGTATTTAGATTCATTAGTTAGATAACCATTTATTGGATTTTTTTTAAATTTTTAGGTGATGTAGTGCTATTGTTAGTATGTGTTTTATATCATCATTATAAGCCATACGATATTTTTAAGAAGACTCCTTTACACTGTGCTGTAGCAATAAGGTTAGGTTAGATTAGCTCAGTTTGGCTTAGTTTTGTTTATGATAGGCCTCATAACAAATAAGGAAAGAGGCTTCAATTAATCAAAAGACGTTTTGTACAGGAACGATGGATTTACCTCCTATTGATAACTGTTGGAAATCCATTACGTATATTACCAATGATCCCTAGTAGCAAAAATATATATTAAATACATATGAATTTGTATATTACAAATATATTTTATATATCGAAAGTGTGTATTAATGACCATTTGATATAATATTTAAAATATATTAAATATATAAAAATATGTTTTTGAATTTATTTAATTTTTAAAAATATGTTCTAATAATATATTTTAGTGAATATTAACTTATTTAAATAAAAAATGTATATGATAACACTTCCAAACATCCCATGGGGCCTAAACATAAAAACACAAAATAATAAAGATTTAGTATGAAAAGCACAATTATCAGTTAAGTAAATTGATTAAATAGTTTATAAAAACAAATTTTGAAAGAAAAACTAGACAACAATTTTTGGGCCCATATGGGTCTTGTACCTGGGTCCTTCGACTTAGGTCCTTACCTCTGAGCTAACTGTGATTGTTCATAGTCATATAGTTTTCAAACGGCGAAAGAGTAGCCGACAGTTGCAATCGTTGCAATACTTAAAAATATTTTTGATACTATAGTTTAATATGATTTTGTTAATCTGTTTAGGCATGAAGTAGTTGAGTTGAATAGTGCTGTAGTGAGTAGTGAGTAGTGCCCACGAATACAAATACAGTAAACTACAAAAATTAATTTAAATACTATAACAAATATTATATAATTTATGACATAAGTAAATCAAATAATTATTTTTAGAACGTCATATACAACCGTAATTAGTTTCTTAAAATGTCACCAATCACTAGCACCCTTTTCTTTGTAGCCAATCATTCAAGATTTCCATGATCACATTCCTTGTCACATATCGCAATAAAAAAAGCCCATCAACACCTTTTTCGTTTGACCCACATGTAGCTGTTGAACATGTATAGTGCATAACTTAACTTTATGCATATTTTTTCTTTACATGCATGATAGAATGACACCATACAGAGTATGTATTGTTATTTACTTAATTTTAACGCTTTCACAATCACAATATTCATGCAAAAAATGCATGTATAAATTGATAGACATTATAAAAAAAACAAAAAAATGCTATTAATTTATTTGCCAATTATAATAGATTATATATATTCTATTATTACTGTATTTTATTAGTAAAAATATCCGACATGTTTCAAAATATATATATTTCTCAAATATATTGATGAAAACTTGAAATATATAATATAGTTTCAAAAACATTATATATATATATATATATTTAAAATATTCTCAACATATACAATTTTTAAATATTTTATAGGAAAAATATACATATAAAATATGTATATTATAGATTCAATACTTATTTTATCAATATATATATTATGAATCTATTATACATATTCAAAACTTAATATATCAAACTAACTTTAACTCAATTTAAAATTATCAAACTGTTATTAAAGATATATTATTTATATATTTTATTAGAGGTTCTATCAAATACAACTTTGAACAGGGCCGTCCCTAGGGTTGGCGGCGCCCGAAGCAAACTTGGTTGTGGCGCCCCCTCCCACCCAGTAATAGTCAGTCGCATTCGCATATTTTAATACTATGTTAATACAAATAGCCGCTGCGCGGCGCCCCCTCAGTCTAGGGACAGCGTGCCCCGGTTGCCCCCCCCACCTTCGGACGGCCCTGACTTTGAACATATAAAATATTTATAAAATACATATTTGTGCTACTTGGGGACTTTGGTTAATTAATGGACGAGAAGTTAGGATTGTTGTTGACTGCTATTTGGTTGATTTGCCCATACAAATAACATTGTGTTCACCAGTGACACCGATAAGTAGGCTAGGTGCGGGTGCACTCTTCCATTATTGCGCTCACGTTCACTCATCCCGTTACGCGCAGAATAAGCGTACTACTAGTATATTAAGTTACAAAAGTACCCTTTTTTACCTTTTTATTTAATAAAATTATGACATACATAGTGTTTTTGGCCTCTGGGGACATCCAAACGACTAAGTAAACTGATCACAGGCCCAGGTCTTACCATGAGACCTACAGTAATAGCTTATTCCCTATATGGGAAATTTTATAAAATAAAATGTAAATAATAACAACTTGTTGAAAGTCCATAATTATTTTGTATGTTATAGGGTAAATGGTAAATGGTTTTATTAGCCCTTAAATTTTGTAGTGAGTGAAACATTTAAATTTTTAGATATTTTAAGGTTTATCTTATCAAAATAGACATGGTGTCAAAATATACAGAAAAATTTATGGAAATAGCTTATAAGTACCATATGCAATGAAAAAGTGACAGTTCAAGATAAATGTTAGTACTTATTTCAATTTACCAAAGCTGAAAAGTGTATTTGACTTAAAGAGCATAAACTAATAAGGGTAAAATTGATTTGTATACTTTTCAATACAATTGCAAAACAGAGGAAAGATATCTATAGATTTGATACACACATGGCGGTACTGATAAAGATGTTATAAAATACAACTCCATTCTCTGCTGCCCTAGCAGCATGGGTTTCCTTAAGGCGAGGTATGTTTTATATTTAATTTTGTGATAAATGTGGATCATTAATTCCTTTTTGGTTCTGTAATTAGTGGTTACTATATTTTTGCTGTTGCATTTAAACAGTTCAGTTTCTTGAAATTATAATTGATAATTGAAATTATATTTTTACTAGCAACAGAACCCGTTGTGGTTAAATACAACGGTCTCTAGTAAAATAATGGTTATGAAACCATACACCACTTTACTCACTAATATTAATGGTACAGATTAAGCACATAACATTAGAATCACACACTTAACATAAGGAACACTCTTTAAACACAAATGTAAAATGTTAACAATAACATTTAATCAAAGAAAAATCAATTAAAAAACAATATAACAATAAGCTGTTAAATCATTAACACATGTTTCGTATGATTAGATTATGCATACTGGTAAACCAATTATTGCCATCTATAAAAAATACTGGTTTTTCTTTTCCGAGTAGGGTTAGCTCTTCTACACGACCGATTTTCATAATTTTGGCCTTAAACTAAAGGTATGGACGCACCACAGATTTGCCATCAAGCATCGGCATCATTTTGACATGTATTTCGAGTTTTGCACAAAATGCGTCCCTGTACATTTCTTATAAGAGTTAAATTTGGTTTTTTTTTCGAGTTCGTTTGGCTCTTCTACCCGCTTAGTTTTCATAATATTGGCCTTAAAATAAAGCTTTGCAAGCAAATATTTGTCATCAAGCATCATCATTAATCCATCTAATGTTATCTCAAAAAAAAAAACATAAATTTTATTTTTTTATCTTTTACTTCAAGATGTATTCCAGCAGTTCTAATTACATTACCCTATATGTTTTGGTCTAAAATCCTTTAGTGAAATACCAGCTTTCATTTTAGCTATTGATTATTAAGATTCCGATCTTAATAATCCTACCTAAAGCACACTGCTGAATCACGAATCAACAATAATTATAATCGTTTTGGTACATATCTGCAACCAATGATACATAACTCTATTTTTATTTAAGTTATTTTATACGTCTTGGTCTTAAAATACTTCAAAGGCTTTCACTTGAGATATTGATAGTTTTAAGCAGTTAAGTTAAAGATACTCTATCGCTCAATCATAAAACATAAATTTGATTATATCTTGGATATGGAATTTAGTTTTAGACATATTTACTCAATAATTCTAATTACGTTATTCTATTTGTTTTGACCTAAGAACCTTCAGTGAAATACCAGAATCCATTTGAATCATTGATTATTAAGATCAGACGGACCTTAAGCACACTGCTAAATCACGAATCAACAATAATTATAATCGTTTTGGTACTTATCTGCAATCAATGATACGTAACTCTATTTTTATTTAAGTTATTTTATACGTCTTGGTCTTAAAATACTTCAAAGTTGAACAACCCAAATTGTAAAAAAATGGAGTTATTTATCATCAATTTATAGTCAAACGATCTTGCTTGCAACCTTAACAGTAACTGTCGACGTTGATGGGCTTAACCTATAGTAAATCTTTAAAAAAAATCAAACTTTCATAATTATTTGCAAATATACACGAATTAGGCTTTCCAACGACCTACTAATTAATAAAATTGGTTCAGTAGAACTGTAGATTTAATTTACAAAGTTTGACAACAACATCTTTAATTCAGTATTTTCTCACCACTATAAATTGGGAGGTTGCTTAACATTTTTGCAAATAACTTTGAAATGGCGAGGAAATCGACCCAAGTGGAAGATGATATTCTGATAGAGAATAAAATTTCCTACAAATTAGTATTATGTATTTTTTGAAAATACTCAATAAAATCAGTCTAAAGCTTGGCTACAAATATAAAATTGGAAATATTAACATGGAAAAAGGCATTTTTAATATATTATTGTTTATTTTTAATTTTTCACCTCAAATATGTAATAAAATCAAACTTTCATAATTATTTGCAAATATACACAAATTAGGCTTTCCAATGACCCATTAAGTAACAAAATCGGTCCGGTAGAAGTCTAGATTTAGTTGTACAAAGTTTAACAAAAATATAACTAATTTAGTATAGTCTTACCACAACAAATTTGGAGATAACTTAGATTATTGCCAATAACTTTTAAATGGAGGGAACATCGACCAAAGTGGAAGTGATATTCTGAAAGAAAATGAAATTTACTACAAATAACTACTATGCATTTATTGAAAATACTTAATAAAGGCAGCCAAAAGCTGGCTACAAATAACTTGAAGAAACTTGAAAACAGAAACTTGAAAAAGCAGTTTTTAATTTATTTTTGTTATTTTTACTTTTTCGCCACAAATGCTTAATAAAATCACACTTTCATAATTATTTGCAAATCTACATGAATTAGGCTTTCCAATGACCCATTAATTAACAAAATCGGAAATCGGTCCAGTAGAAGTCTAGATTTAGTTGTACAAAGTTTAACAAAAATATCCCAAACTCAGCATTTTCTCATTACTATAAATTCAGAGGTTACTTAGCTTTTTTGCAAATAACTTTTAAATGGTGAGGAAATCTACCAAAGTGGATGGTGATATTCTGAAAGAGAATAAAATTTCCTACAAATTGATACCATGTACTGCTTGGAAATACTCAAAATAAGCAGCCAAAAGTCGCACCCAAATAAAAAGTTTGAAAAACACCGTTTTCAATGTATTTTTTTTTAAGGAAAACATGTTTTTTTATATTTTTCACCATAAATCTTAGCAAAACTAACTTTCATTATTGTTTGCAAATCTACACGAATTAAGCTTTCCAATGACCCATTAATTAATAAAATCGGTCCAGTAGAACTCTATATTTAGTTGTACAAAGATTTTTTAAACTGAATTATATATAGAAGAGATATGCTAGTTTATTTAATTTTTTATGTCTTACCTTCTCATCCTATGGCGCTAGGTTTTAGCACGGAAATGTTTTACACATTACTTCAGACTAGTCCTATACTGTTAATACTGTTCTATGAAATGGCGACCATGACCATACAAAGTAGGTATTTTAAGCCAAATATGAATGGAGGATGAGTGGAGCGATCTTGTAGTCTTGTTAGTGACTAAGGCCAACATTCCTTAGACACAGCTGTTAATTAATAGCCCATACAGCTAATGGCAATATATTGGGTCACGGCATTACCACATGGATAAAATCCATTGGTGATTGGCGGGATTTGAACCAGGGACCTTGGGCTCCAAAGCCCCGTGCTCTTCCACTATACCAGCTCACTCTCAAGGAGCTCATTAAGGAAATAACTCAGTTATTTGCTCAGCAGGGAAATATGCTATTTTTTCAAAAAATTTTGATAGAGATGGTAAAATTGACACCGGACGATGGTTGTCTGAGTTTTCTACTGAGCCTTTTTTTAAAAGATGTTTCACTTCAGCATTTTTTAATTGATATGGAAAAATTCATTCATCAAAACATTGATTTAAAATCAGACAAAGTGGCTCCGCTATAAAATTCATAATATTTTTTAATATTTCAACTGAAATCCCATCCCATTCTACTGATTTTTTATTTTTTAATCTTTTTATCGTAGTTTTAATTTCTGATACAGATACATGTCTGAATTTGAAATTAATTCTTTGATTAATCATTAAACTATTCACTAAATTGGATGCAGTATCTAAACAAGGTATGCAATTAATGTCCTTAGAGATGTTTGCAAACTTTACAATGAGAAAGTTGGAAATAGCCTGACCATGAGTTATCAGCTTATCTCTGACACACAAATCAGGGAAGTCCATATATTTAGATCTCAAGACACCAAGTTCAGACTTGACAACAGTCCACACTGCTTGGCTCCTGTTTTCAGCTGTGGTTATTACCTTACAGCTCTTACAGTTTAAAATTTTACGGGCTCTATCACAAACAGCTTTAAATATTTTTCTGTAATTTCTGTAATAGTTTTGAAAATTCACATCCTTATTAGTCTTAGAAATTACACATAATTCTCTTTTTCGTCTACTTGATATAATGATTGATAATGTCTACATGGCCGCTGAAAATGTTCACGATTTTTCCGCAATCGTGGACAACTATGACGTTTCGTGACCGCGGGGGCGGCATTAAATGATGATGTCTTCACAGCTGCGGAAGATGTTCATGATTTTGCCGCGATTGCAGAAGACGACAATGACGTATCTGTGGCCGTGGCAGTCAATGATGATGTCTACACGGTCGCAGGAGATTTTCATGATTAAAAAAACTAAATTGGCTATTTAGAATTTTTCATTGCTGCACTTTTTTCTATACTTGAAAAATACCCGAGGGGGTATTATCTTAATAATATACCCTACTTTATGTCATTAATACTGGAGTTGGTGTAGTATAACAAAGTTATTTTTAAAATTTGGTTTAACTATAAAATTTGGTATAAAAAAAAAACTAGTCTTGAAAATTCTGGAATTTAGTCTGTATTTAGTCTTGAATTTTAAAATGGAAACAAACTAGACACCCTGATTAACTGCATTAACATAACCTGTCTGTCACAATTTTAATCGGCGTTCTTTTGGCTAGTAATAACCTTAATTAAAAACCTGAGTAAATGCAGAGTAAAAGGCCTGATGTTCACTTTGTTTTTTGTTTCCCTTAACTTGAATAATAATAATTAAATCCTTCAATGAAAATGTTAATAAGGGTTTCTTGGACATAGTAATAGGCTACTCTTCTAGACTTTTATGGAAACATAGATTAAATGTCCTCAACGTACCAGATCGATTTAGCCTTAGGCAATGATCACAATTAGTCAATGTTTCCTAATACAAATTGTAGCACTTCGGCTAACATCCTCGTTCATTGTTTGTAGGAATCTTCATCTTTTATGTGTTCTACAATATAGGCTAATAACGAAAATAAATTCTCAAAAAACATTATCTCTATTTCATTTACTCGGTGGCGTTCTACGACTTTTTATGTTTTCACAGTTTGCAAATCGGTTCTTTCAATAATTTTCAAGAAATACAGTACTGTGTCAATTCAATGTTCTTATTTGGAT